ACATATACATCCCCTCTAACTTGTCCACACTCTTCATTTTGGCACTTTATCTTAGCCTTGTTCCATTTTAACCCTTGAACTCCATTTTTTATGTTCCATTTTAACACGAAATACTATTTTTATGATTTATTTATTTTTATATATATTCTTCAATTGCAACTTCTTATTTTAAATCGACATGTGTCATTTAATTTTAGTTAAAAAATTAAAAATTAACAAAAAATATTTATTTTTAAAAAATAATAATTTTTTTAAAAGAGTGTTATGTATTTTTGTGTGAAAAATAACCGATGAAATTGTGTTGGTTTTCTTTCTTTAAAATCATCGTCAACCTAACAAAGTCAATCAAGTTTTAACATTGTTTAGTAGTGTTATTAGCAATGAACAAGAGTCTTTTTTTAGTAGTGTTATTAACAAAGTCAGTCGAGTCTTTTTGAAGATGAGTTTTTTTATTCGTATTGATTTATATTAAAAATTAAAAGTGAGTATTTGCGTTAAATTTAGATAGCCTAGATGATAAGAACAAATAAATAAGTAGTGTTATTTAATTTAATTGAATGTTTAAGAAAGAAAATCAAAGAACTTTCGTCAATTTATTTTCATGCAAAAATACAGAGAAATATCAAAAAATAATATTATTGTTTGAAATTTTTTATGTTCGTTCGCGAATGTTTTATTTTTTTAATTAACAGGCACACGTCTATTTTTTTAAAATAAGAAATTGCAATTGAAGAACATAAATAAAAACAAATCATAAAAATTAGTATAAGTGTTTAAATGGTACAGAAAAAATGGAGTTTAAGGGTTAAAATGGAACAAGACTAAGTTGGAGTGCCAAAATGAAAAATGAGGGCAAGTTTGAGGGGTTGTATATGTGTTTGGCCTTTATGGAATCTAGGTTAGGATGGGCCGGTAATTTAGTGAGAAAAAGTTCATTGTCTTTTCTCTTATTACCTGTTCATTTTTAAATTGGTACACTTATTAAGAAAATAATGATCGACATGGTGAGTTTATCATTTTACCTCTATTAATTATGAAGTTGATGAATTAAAAATTTAAGATTTTCAAAAAGTTCAATGTTTTTCAAAGTAATTAATTGAGGGTATAATAAATAAAAAAATTGTCCTTTCTTGATTTTCAAAATGGACAAGTAAAAGGAACAACTAAAAAAGAAAATTTGGACAAGTAATTAGGAACAGAGAGAGTATGAAAAAAAATATGTTACTCCATCATTATCATCGATAAATAATAAATTGTTTCTTAAACTTTTAAATTAAATAAATAAAAATAAATATTTATTTTTAATATTTAATATAACAAATAAGTAAAAGTGGACAATGGGGTTAAACTGATTACAAGTACATTTAGAAGAAAAATAAGTAAAAGTGGACGATGAGGGTTAAAAGTGATTACTACTCCCTTTATCCCTAATTATTTATTCACTTTTGAATTGACACACCTATTAAGAAAACAATTAATGACATATTGATTTTACCATTTTACCCCTATTAATTATGAAGTGGATGAAAAGTTCTACATTTTTCAAAGTAATTAATCATTTAATTGAGGGTATAATAAGTAAAAAAAATTGTTTTTTCTTGATTTGTCAAATTAGACAAATAATTAGGGATAACTATAAAAGAAAAAATGGACAAGTAATTAGGGACAGAGGGAATAGTACACTACAAGAAAATATAATAAAGCAATACAAATATGGGGGATTAGTGAACAAATTAGGAGACATAAACATTGGGTGAATAAATATTTAACGTCTCAATTGGGTTGAAAAAAATTCACAAAATGGTCTAGACGTACGCCTAGAATAGGTACAAAATAGTTTTTTAAGGATACACCGAATAATTTTGATCTTTTAAATTTATCTAAAGTAACAATTATTTATCAAACTTTATTTGTTGGATTAGACAAAAATTATGAAAAAAATGTTTTAATTATAAATATAAAAAAATTCTCATCATATCCTTAATATGCAACACAAGTTCCTGTACTAGACATTAAAAAGATATAGAAATAATAGAAATTACACCTTCAAAAGTTTCACGAAGCTCTAATAGTAATAATAATAAAATAACAAAAAACTATAAATATTGTATCACTAAATATAATTTTTCACTATTTTTTTTCTTCATAATTCCCCTAAAATATAATATACAAAAATTGATAAATTTCAATCAAAATTAGTCTGTACATATTCAAAAAACTTATTTTGAACTCACTATCAAACTTAAGGAACCATTTTTGTCATTTCCTTTAATTAGGTCTTTTAATAGTCAGATTTCCGTTACACTTTTGGCTTGCTCTTTATTTAATAAGGAGAAAATTTTAAACATTGTGTTTCTAATATTTCTCACTAAAATTACTCGCGCTTCGCGCGGGAGTTTAATATCACGAAATTTATAAAATAATACTTAAAATCTATCGGTCATTAAAACTAAAACATTATATTATCTTACATACAATATTACGTAGTAACAAACATTAATAATGTAAAGGAAAATGACAATTATTACATCTTATCGTTTATCCTTAATAACATAAGCATAATTTAATGACTGTAAAAATACATATCAGTGGATCTGTAACATAAGCAATGGTGTCAGTGCGTCACTCAACGAGAGCAAAGTACACAAATATTCAATTGTGAAGAAAAAGAAGAAGAAGGAGCAACATGAGGAGGAGGAAGAGAGATTCAAAGTTTTCGTTGTTTTAAAATGAAAGGAAATCCTTCTATTTATAGACAACAAAGGATAGTGTGCAGTGGCGGATCTAGGATTTTAAGGTTGTGGGTGCTCTGAAAGTGGTGGAGTCAAAAATATAAAAAATACATGTTAACAATGAGATTTGAACTCGGGCTTAACAACACTAAAAGGGCTCGTTTGGTGTGAGGTATAATAACAAATAGTCCCGGGATTAAATTATAGTACCGCTTATTTTGTTGTTTGGTTGGCAAGTTCGGGATAACTTATCCCGGGATTAATAATTAGTACCGGGATAAGTTATCCCTCTCCTTGGGTGGTATAGTAATCCCGGGATAACTTATCCCGGGATAAAATAGGTAAATGACAAAAATGTCTCTTTCAACCCTTTTGTTATATCACTTTTTACATTAATGAAGGGCATTTTTGTAAACAAATAAATTGTTCTTAAAATTTATTATTTTGAATACAACAAACCAAACACTCAATAAAAAATAATCCCAACACAACTTATCCCATCATAACTAATCCCAACATAACTTATCCCAACATAACTTATCCCATCATAACTCATTTTCAAACCAAACGACCCCAAAGAGTCTTAACCACCCACCCATGGGCCAATCAAATCATTTATTCATTGGGTGCTCTATGTTAATTTTATACAAGTACCTCTTAATTTCTACATAGATATATATATTCCAAGACGAGGTTACTGGGTGCTCGAGCACCCGGCATGAGCCATGTGGGTCCGCCCCTGATAGTGTGAACAAATGTTTATTGTGCCTTATCGAAAAGGTTACACCTATTTGAAAAAGTTGCAACCCTTCGGAAAGGTCACAACCTTTCATAAAAGTCACAATTTTTCATAAAAGTCGCAACTCTTCATAAAAGTCACAACTTTTCATTAAAGAAGAAGGCTAGTTTTAAAAATAAATAAATTAAAAGAAAATTATAGTTTGTGATGTAGACAAGCCTAAGGTTCTTTTAGCTAAAAAGTTTGAATGAAACTATTTTTATTTTCCTAATTTTAGGAAAGTGGGTGCTACTTTATATATGGAAAAAATACAAAAGAATTTCTCACATAAGATTTAATATCCACATTAAAATTCAATTATTCTAAATTTACATAGCAGATAAAGATCCTGTTCGATGGAAACGCTCCCTATGTGGAGAACACTTCACGTCTTCACCACCACTTGAGTTTTGTCAAAATTCAATAATTCAAAGTTTAGGATAATATCTCATCACATACTAAAATATATAAAAAATTTAAAAAAGTACCAACTTTTTCTCAATGCCTACTTTTAAATGTTCCCTCCGCTCCTCACGTTCCTCTTCTCTAAAACCACTCTTTTTTCTTCAGGTTCTTTCACATATAATTTTTTGTTCTTTTCCAAATGCTTCATTTTAGTCAAATTAACTGCCTAACTGTCTAAAAAGCTTTACATCACCTTTATGAGAGTTTTCATGGAGTGATCAATCATTGAAAAATTGAAAAAAGAGAAAAAAAGTTTTTTATTTTTTAAAGAAAATTGATAACCCATATATCAAGGAAAAATGTTCTTTTAATAGAGTATTTTTTTTTTTCTCTTCATGATGTTTTGCTGCCGTGAGAAATCACATAATTATAGAGTATATATATTTAGAGAGAGATATTAGGATTTTTTTAGTCTAATTCTTGGACTTGTATGGTTCCAACTTCTAGGATGTCTGGAAAAAACTAGCCCCATTTTCGTGTTTTCTTCCTGCATTTATTCTTTGGATTCCTTTTCTTTTTTGGGTTATTTAACAGATGTAGCTTCAATCTTACTTCTTTATATATTTTACTATTTATAGGATCTGAACCATCGTTTATATTTTATTGTTAAAGGGGTTCTTTGGTTGGTCGATCTAGCAGCATCTTCTTGTGGGTCAGCTCAGTTTCTGCTGTAGTGTCATTTGAGCAAGAATCCAAATTTGTGTTGAAGAATTTTTGACTACCTGGGGTTCTTTTGACCCCAAAGATTTGGCCTTTTCTCTTGATAAAGATTGGATTTTATTATCTGGGTTCTTTAAACTTCAAAGATTTGGTCTTTTTCTTGAGAAAGATTGGATTTTGATCATCTGGAGTTCTTTTTAACTCAAAAGATTTAGCCTTTTTTCTTGAGAAAGATTGGATTTTGATCATCTGCGTTATTTTAAACTCAAAGATTTGGTCTTTTTCTTGATAAGTTTTCTTTTTAAACTCAAAGATTTGGCCTTTTTCTTGAGAAAGATTGGAATTTTATCTCAAATTTTGCATAAATTTCTTGAGAAAGAAGGCCATTCTTTTATGTATTCTTCAAGGGCTTGAGAGCAATGTTTATTTCTACTGAAGATGAAAATATGCCATTGCCTTTGGAAAACGGGAAAGCTTTGGAGAATTCTTCTCCAGTAGGATCAAATCCAGATTCCAATGATGATGAGCCTTCCCAAGAGATTCCTTCAACTTTCACAGATGTCAATGTGGTTCAAGAAGATGAAAAGTTTCAGCTTGAGCAGAGGATTTTGAATTTAGAAGGTGTTTTTTCTTGGGATTTGTTTGTCATTTGAATGAGATTTAAAATTTTCATGATTTGAACTTTCTTTTGTTTTTCTCTTATGGTTTTGCAGGTGAAATTGTGAGTTTGAGGCATAAAGAGAGATCTTTGGATGAAAAAAGGAGAGAGGCATTGAATAAGATACTAGACATTAAAGGTGATTTCTTGTTTGGATATTTACTTTATTTGAGATCTTCTAAATTGAATACATTTTTGTCCTTCCTTCATTTATGTGTTCTGAATGAGAGACATTAATATTTCCAAATGTAGGTTGCATTCGGGTGTTTTCCCGAGTTAGACCATTTTCACCAACAGATAAACAGAGAACTCATCAGCCGATTTCTGTTGAATCGGAGAAGATTGTAGTAAGATCTGGTGGAAGCAGGAAAGAATTTGAATTTGACAAGGTTTTCCCTCAGGAATCACTCCAAGGTTGGTAATATTTATGTGCTAAAAGTTGACTAATCTTGTTTCCTAAGAAATATAGTTAATGCATTTGTTATGCTTGAATATTCTGTAGAAGATGTTTTTGCTGAGGTTGAGCCAATTATCAGATCTGCACTTGATGGGCACAATGTATGTATATTAGCTTATGGACAAACTGGAACTGGCAAGACATATACTATGGTTAGTTATCTTAATTTATTTTGTATTTGTTACATTGTCATGAAGAATGCTTATAGAAATGAACTAGGTGTTTCACTTGTGTTCTTTAGGAGGGAATCACAGAGTCTCCAGGGATCATTCCTCGTGTTCTTCAGGAGCTTTTTAACCTTTCCTCTTTAGATAGCTCAATTTCATTTACATTTTCGATTAGCATGCTCGAAGTCTATTTGGGCAGTATAAGGGATTTGCTTGCTCCAAGACCTTCCAGTCGTAAATACACTGCATCGAGATGGTAATTACCAATATCTTGTCCTTCCTTATAAAGGAGGATGTAATTTGATGTTCCACTATGAATTTCCTGCTATAGTTTGGCTAACACTATTACAGCAATCTAAATATTCAAACAGATTCAAAAGGATCAGTTGAAATTGATGGTTTAACTGAGGTAGAAATCTCTAATTTTACGAAAGCAAAATGGTGGTATCATAAGGGGAGGCGAGTTAGATCCACATCATGGACGAATGTAAATGAAACATCCAGCAGATCGCATTGGTGGGTCCAGTTTGTGTAAAAGTCTTTCCCCATCTTTAATTGGTTTACTTTGGTTCAACAGTTACTTTATCTGTTTATTTCTTTGTATTTAGCTTGACGAGGATCAGTATATATCGCTATGGGGATACTTTGGGAGGTAAACCAGAAGCAACCAAACTGTGGATGGTTGATCTTGGAGGGAGTGAGCGCCTACTTAAAACGGGAGCTACTGGACAAACCCTTGACGAGGGGAGGGCAATAAATCTCTCTCTTTCTGCACTAGGTGATGTTATTGCAGCTCTTAGAAGAAAGAAAGGCCACGTTCCTTATAGGTAGGTGAATATGTACGAGTTTCTCAGTTCATAAAAGGAATCTGGTTTTCTTGTCTGCATTTAGGTAGCACTTTCTTAGTGTTCTGCTTGCTCGAGTTTTATTCTGTTCCACTATTACACTGCTCAATAGAAAAAGCTTGAGGAGCTATGTGTCTAAATATTTGGAAGTGGTGCTTTCCGTTAACTAATGAAGTTGCAACTTTTGATTGCAGAAATAGCAAATTGACACAAGTTCTCAAGGATTCTTTAGGTAAATTCTCTCATTCCTGAAAAGCCATTTCCTTGTATGCATGTCAGAACTATTATAATTTTCACATTTTGGACAATGATAATTGTGTGGTAGCAGTAGCACAATATTTTGTTGCATCCACTCAGTGATTAGGAGTTATAAGGAATCTTGGAAATTTCGACTTGTTGGCAATTGATGTAAAAAACTCTCTTGTTCGCCATGGTACTTAGACATCTAAATATGTTAAGTTGTTCATAACTTATTTCTTTGAACTTACTGCTTTAGGTGATAAATCAAAAGTTTTGATGGTAGTCCATGTTAGCCCATACGAAGAGGATGTTGGAGAGACAACATGCTCCTGTACCTTTGCAAAGAGAGCAAGAGCAGCGGAATGCAATAGAGAGCTCTCAGAAGTAATCCTCTCTTTTACCAGTTTTTTTGTATTGTCTCTGATGACCTTGCCAATTAACCTTATTTATTGTTTTGCATCCCTTTAGGAATCAAAGAAGCAAAGAGAAAAGAGGATCGTGGAGCTTGAGGGGCAAATGAAGGAAGCTGAAGAAGGATGTACAGATCTTAGTACTCAAATACAGAAGGCTGATTTTTTATTGAGTGAGAACAGAAGGCTTTTCGTGAAGAAATATCAGCCACTTGAAGATGAAGAAACCTTTCCTATAACCCCAAAGGAAAACGTCCCTGAAATCACAGTAACTCCAAGAAACTCTGAGAAGGGACTAAAAACAAATGTCACTAGCTCGGTGCCTCGATTCATGAGTTCCACGGTTGCCAGTCGAATAAGAGAGACTACAGCAGAAAAGGAAATCCATAGCAGACCAAAAAGTGTGAGATCATGGGCTAGGAGCTCTATGCAAATTTCTGGTTCACAATCAAACAGCTTTGATCGTCGTTTCAAAGCTCACCTACGGACTTCAAATAAAAGATCACGTTATAGTGAAATTAATACCATGGCTGGGGATATTAAGTATGGTGATGATTCAGATATTAAGCCATCTGTCTTACCACAAAGCAAGACTATCGCGCCCTCGGATCCAAAGCCTAGAAAACCACTAGCTCACCACAGAAGAAGGATGTCTGATCTGCTCTAACTATTACAAGAGTTGATCAAAGGTGCTTTAGCTTTTTTTTCCTTTTGGGTGTTTTGACTTTTGTTTGGTGTTGCTGCTCCTACTGCCATTGTTTTTATTTTTCTTTCTGGTCTGGAAGTGATTTAAGATCAACTACGAGAGAAATTCATTTGGGGGTTCATGTGTTGTAGGTGTGACATTTCTTGGGGTAGGATTAACTTTATACTTTGCAAAAAGAATGGTTTCTTTAGGCTTGTGTGTTTACATCAAATGTCATGTTGTTTTGACAGTGTGAAGCAAGTGCATGGAAAACATTTTTCAATTCATGTTGTAACCATACAGTTCAGAATGTGTTAACAAAAACTGACTATTTGAAGTTTGCTCCTCCTCTTCTATTAATTGTATTAGTTTAGATTTACCATATTATTTACCTTTGTGATTTGTGAATATCATTTGGTTTCATATATATATGAGATAAGGATTTGAAAAATACCCCAACTTTGGTCGAATTTGTTGTTGCGATACTAAACTTTCATGAGGACCTATTACCTCCCTAGACTATTTAATACCATATTTTAAACATATATATTTGCCCACGTGGACATAAAAAATAATGCAAAATTATAAATAGTAATGTGTCCACGTGGGCACATATATACCTTTAAAATACACTATTAAATAGTTCAGGGGGTAAAAAATACGGTATTAAATAGTCTAGGGAGGTAATAGGTCCTCATGAAAGTTTAGTATCGCAACAACAAATCCGATCAAAGTTGAGATATTTTTCAGACCCTTATCCCTATATATATATATATATATATATATGGGATCAAAATTCAGATGACTAATTATATTATTTTAATTTTCTCAAAAATTAAATCTTCTTTGAAATACATTTATAGTCGTTAAAACCACATTTCACACTTTTGTGTAACAAGTTTATAACAAAAAAAAAACCACTACTTCACAATGAATGTTTATTGGTCTTGGACCTCTTCTAGCTTAAAACTTAAATAAACAAAAAATAGATCTTACTTATAAATGTCATACGTAAATTTAAGCAGGAGAAAATAGTAAATTTTATTCGAAAAGTAGAGACAATGATGTTAAATTTAATGAAATTTTTCTTTGGATTTAATTAACAAGACAACAATGGTGAATTTTGTTAGTTACATGGGGTTTACAATTGAATTTTAACACTTTTTAATTTTATTTTATAAATATATTAGGTTTAGGTTAAAGGACCAGAATGAACATATTTTGTTATACATTAAGAACAATTTGAATCAGGTGAAATATATTAAGAAATCAAAATAAACACCTTTTATTACGCATAAGGACCATTTCAATAAAATGAAATATATTTATAAACCAAAATAACGCATTATTCATATTTTCTCCTATTTTTTAAACATAAACTAATTTGAGATCCTTTTGGTATGTTGCTTACTTCCAAATTTCAATTACTATATAATCACAATTCACAAGTCAAACTTTGACACAAAATAAATGATCAGTCAAGATTTCCTTCTAAAGAATTAAATTACATTCCATATATGCCCACAAAATTTTGGAAACAAAATATAGAAAAGATTTTTTAATAGATATGTGATTTTCAATCTCTCCCTATAAATTAACATTTCACTAAACCTTAAAAGTATCCCAAATTTCAAAACAAATCATACTTCTTGAAGAGTAAGGAATTTAAGCAGAATGGGAACAGGGAAGAAGAAGATAGAAATTGAGAAAATCACAAAAAAATTGGCTAGAATGACGACATTTTCAAAAAGAAAGAAAGGACTTTTCAGAAAAGCTGAAGAGCTTGAATCCTTGACAAGTTCTCGTGTTACGTCCGTTGTTTTTTCACCTTCTGGCATTCCTTATACTTACGGAGATGTCAACTCTGTTATAAAGAAGCATTTTTCTAGCTGTAATCGCTCTGAAATATCAACATCAGTGATGAATTCTCATCATTCCTCTTATGATGTTTCTGGCGAATCTTCGGGGTCAAAATCATCATCGACCCCAAAGGGGAATGGTCTCCGTGGTTGGGTGGAGCATATAGATGTGGAAGGATGTCAAAATTTGAATCAATTGTTAATGTTGAAGGAGCAATTGGAAGGAACCAGAAAGAAGATTGTTGCCAATGATTCTGAATCATTTGAAGCTTTGTTTATGTAGCATGTCTCAATAGAATTAGTGGTCTAAAAATAGAGAATGGGCATATTTTTTTTAAAAAAATCGATAGTACTATTGTTAAAATGCAGTTCAAAATCAAAAGCAGACTATTAGAAGTTTTTTCCATTATATGTTTTAATTATTTAGATTTATCATATGAATGAGCATTGAGTGAATTTTATAAATCAACTATTTCGTTATTGTATTTTCAATATTGATGTTTCGTTTGTGAATATCATTTGTTTTTTCTTACCAATTTCACTGTTTAGTAGTTTACTTTTCAAAGAAATGTGTTATATTCTGACGTATATCTTGAAAAATTAGTCCATGTATGTTGATATGAACGTGTGCTGATATAGATATTAGAATTATTGAAAAAAAAGACCCTATACAATTTATATGTGTAAACATGTACATATGTCAATTTGATTACCCTAACCCTAACTTAACTCTCACAAAAGAAAAGTCAATATAGTTATTCTAACTCAAAAATAACCCTCACAAAAAAAACTAATTAGGACTTCTAATTAAGTTTTATCATATATGCTTTATGTAAATTAAAAATGTTTTTTCTTCTATTTTGATGAGATTTTGTTAATAAATAATAATATGTTTGGTGTTGCTGCTAAAAACGACTTATTTTTAGAAGCACTTTTTTTAAAATGACTTTTCAAAAAGTGCTTTAGTTACGCGTTTATAACAAAAAAAAAAACCACTACTTCACAATGAATGTTTATTGGTCTTGGACCTCTTCTAGCTTAAAACTTAAAAAAACAAAAAATAGATCTTACTTATAAATGTCATCTGTAAATTTTACGCAAGCGAAAATAGTAAATTTTGTTCGAAAAGTAGAGACAATGATGTTAGATTTGATGAAGTTTTTCTTTGGAGTTAATTAACAAGACAACAATAATGAATTTTGTTAGTTACATGGGGTTTACAATTGAATTTTAACACTTTTTAATTTGATTTTATAAATATATTAGGTTTAGGCTAAAGGACTAGAATGAACATCTTTTGTTATACATTAAAAACAATTTGAATCATGTGAAATATATTAAGAAACCAAAATAAATACCTTTTATTACACATAAGGACCATTTCAATAAAATGAAATATATTTATAAACCAAAATAACGCATTATTCATATTTTCTCCTATTTTTTAAACATAAACTAATTTGAGATCCTTTTGGTATGTTGCTTACTTCCAAATTTCAATTACTATATAATCACAATTCTCAAACTTTGACACAATATAAATGATCAGTCAAGATTTCCTTCTAAAGAATTAAATTACATTCCATATATGCCCACAAAATTTTGGAAACAAAATATAGAAAAGAGATAGATATCTGATTTTCAATCTCTCCTTAAAATTAACATTTTCACCAAACCTTAAAAGTATCCCAAATTTCAAAACAAATCTTACTTCTTGAAGAACAAGGAAATTAAGTAGAATGGGAACAGGGAAGAAGAAGATAGAAATTGAGAAAATCACAAAAATATTGGCTAGAATGGTGACATTTTTGAAAAGAAAGAAAGGACTTTTCAGAAAAGCTGAAGAACTTGAATCCTTGACAAGTTCTAGTGTTATCTCCGTTGTTTTTTCACCTTCTGACATTCCTTATACTTACGAAGATGTTAACTCGTTTATAATAAAACATTTTTCTAGCTGTAATCGCTCTGAAATATCAACATCAGTGATGAATTCTCCTCATTCCTCCTATGATGTTTCTAGCTAATCTTTGGGGTCAAAATCATCATCGACCTCAAAGGGGAATGGTCTCCATGGTTGGGTGGAGCATATAGATGTGGAAGGATGTCAAAATTTGAATCAATTGTTAATGTTGAAGGAGCAATTGGATGGAACCAGAAAGAAGATTGTTGCCAATGATTTTGAATCATTTGAAGCTTTGTTTATGTAGCATGTCTCAATAGAATTAGTGGTCTAACAATAGAGCATGAGCATATTTTTTTTTAAAAAAAATCGATTGCACTATTGTTAAAATGCATTTCAGAATCAAAAGCAGACTATTAAAACTTTTTTCCATTATGTGTTTTAATTATTTAAATTTATCATATGAATGAGCATTGAGTGAGTTTTATAAATCAACTATTTCGTTATTGTATTTTCAATATTGATGTTTCGTTTGTGAATATCATTTGTTTTTGCTTACCAATTTCACTGTTAAGTAGTTTACTTTTCAAAGAAATGTGTTATATGTCTGACGTATATCTTGAAAAATTAGTACATGTATGTTGATATGAGCGTGTGTTGATATAGATATTAGAATTATTGAAATAAAGACCCTATACAAGTTATATGTGTAAACATGCACATATGTCAATTTGATTACCCTAACCCTAACTTAACTCTCACGAAAGAAAAGTCAATTCAATTATTCTAAAACTCTAAAATTAACCCTCACAAACAAAACTAATTAGGACTTCTAATTAAGTTGTAGCGTATATGCTTTATGTAAATTAAAAATGTATTTTCTTCTATTTTGATTATATTTTGTTAATAAATAATAATATGTTTGATGTTGTTGCTAATAACGACTTTAAAAACACTTTTTTAAAAATGTCTCTTCAAAAAAGTGCTTTCGAAAAAAACAATTTGTGTTTGGCTGATTCATCTGAAAAGTGTTTGTTATAAACAAATTGCGTTTGGTTGATCTTTGAGTCAAATTATGAAAAAGGTCAATTATTAATGTATTTTTAATATTAGATTATTTTATAGAGACAAACTATTTTAACTATTTATTCTAAAATATTCATTAATTTTTACTCTAATATTTAATTTAGTTTAAAAAAATTTATTAGTTTCCATGTCCTGTTTTATTTTTATCATATTAATTATTTTTTTCCATAACAGTTTATGTCATTTATTGCGAATATCTTACTTTTTTCATAATTATTTTCTAATTTATTTGTGTATAAGCTAATGAAAATTGTGTATTTTCATATAATTTTTTGGTACTGGGGGTAATTTTTTAAATTTATTTGTATATAATTTATCATCGGATTAAATGAAAAGATGCATTTTTTAATGACTACACATCTTTTATTGGTCTTTTTTGCATTATAATTTTTTTAAAAATTATCTTCATATAATTTATTATCAATTCATTATTTTAAACGAGAAAACACGTCTTTTCATTTTGTCTATTTTCTATTAATTTAAATCATATAACTT